TATATATATATATATATATATATATATATATATGGTTAGTTTCAGTAAAATTCTTCTTATTACATACATACCACACTTCATAGACATGACACTTAAAAACAGCTTTGCCAAGCACGTTGGCATGAGAAGTACGAATTTTTAAGACTGTGGACGTTGCGTGCACCACGACACACATGCTTTCACGAGAAATATGAATCAGCTCTGAGCCACGCTTGCGACAGACAGCGGGAGAGGGGGTAGAAGCAGTGGGACTGGCCAAAATGTTGGGGGCATTAATTTTTATATAAAAACTATTTGTCAATATCGAGGACAGAAAAAATTCAAGGTTATGTCCATAAATCATAAGTTGATAATGTAATTATCGTGACAGGCTTAGTCTTGGGTACAGATTTCTGCTTCCCCAAGAAATTAAGCACCAAAATTAACAAATATATACACTAATTAGTTCAAGTTAAGCCTTCACTCTCAAACTGCCAACAACTGTGCTACTAGGATGGTGTGAAAACCTTAAATCTGGTTTTTGTTCTTGGAACCATTAAAACTTCTTGACATTTCAGGAGCTTTTTCTTTGATATATCAAAGAGCAATAAACTCAAGGGGCCACTGACATTGTGTCAATAATCCCAGTTGTGCTCAAAATATCCTGAGGCTTTTCATTTCAGATGCTTGGTTTCCGAAGGGGAAAACTTCTTTTTATGTCGGTCCTTGCCTAGAAGCTGAACGTGTAAATAACGAATGTTCCGATTCTCCAAAATCAGAACCCTTTCCCGCCTCTTTGGCATTCCCTGGCACGGCTGGTATCTCAGTCGCATTCCCAAAGGAGGAGTTCCGAAAATTAAGTCCTCATGTTGTTTTTGCAGAAGAGCGGCATTTCAAAATTACGCAGCTATTAGGACATGCAAAGTGCAAACATATTTCGGGTCGTCTCATTCAGCCACAGGGTGCTACAGCCATCCCAAATTTATGACGCACACACGGGGTTAAACCATGGTGCTGGTTCTAAAGCAGAAGACAGGATCACCTAATTTGCTGCAAGATGCTTCCGGAAGGGCGGACATTCTCTGGAATTTTCACTGATGAAACATATCAAGTGGGAGTGCCATATGTATTCACAGTCCCAGTGTGTGTGTGTGTGTGTGTGTGTGTGTGTGTGTGTGTGTGTGTGTGTGTGCGCGCGCGCACGGCCTATTAGTAACTGAAAACTAACACACGCACACACAGCAGCTTTTGAGAAACAAGTAGAGTTAGTGTGGGAGACGGCCTAACGCAAGGTCCTCCCCTTTAACATGACCAAGAGCCAGGCTGCAGAGTGTTTTTTTTTTTTTTTTTTAATAAAAAAAACGCTTGCTCAACTTTGCCCAATAAAACTTTCCCAGAACAATTGCCTATGAGGCCTTTTAGCTAAATGACACATCCATACCAGATCAAGAAACTTCCTTCCAATAACTAAATCTGACACACTAAATGATTTTGTACATCACATTAGCACAAGCTCAGTATACTCCACGGCACTGGGGCGTTAATTTACAGGCCAGAGAACAGCCAAAGCTATAAAATGCTTGGGGAAAGCACAGTGGGTAGGTTATGGCTGAGTTTATTACTCAACAATACTCCAATTTGAGACCTTAGTGTGGAACCTGCAATTTACCCTGTCGTTCTTACATACTGAAAATTTTCTTTTATATCCATGCGACCATATTTTTGGAAACTTTACTTGTAGCCATTTTTTGTTAACTATTGATTTTTCTTTGCTCCAGTCTATTATAATAATCAGTTCTTGGGTTGGCCAATCAGCTCTCGAGGTTACCTGTACTTGAGATCGTTGACGTAAGAACTTCCCAGAATGCTCTCGATGGTCCTCTTGGTCTCCTCCAGAAGACTCTTGACAGCCGAGTCTCCCACAGCCATGGCCACGATGCGGCCCGGGGGCAGCCCTTTCAGCAGCTCGTGGAGCTGCCTGCTGTCGTTCTTCGATTCGTGCGTGTCGAAGCGGTTGGAGTATATGACGGTGGCATTGTCCTGGTCCACCACCCGCAGGTTTATGCCTCGGCTGAAGTTCCTCTGGAAGGCATAGCCACCAGAAGCCAGCCCCGATGATGGGACGGTCTTGGTCAGCATTGTCCAGGAGAGCTTCTGGGTCCCGTGGAGCTCCAGCGTTCCACCCGCTCGCACCCCGATAAACTTCCTGCCCAGGTCAGGCAGGCTGTAAGACTCTGGCTCGTCAGAGCGGCCGACCAAGGTGATGGTGGCGGTGGATCTGTAACGGCACTTTGGTGCACCAATATGCAACGCGCCCCCGTCCTCAATAAGAATGTGCCGAGTCCTTAGGGTGATGTTCTTGGAACCATCGGAATCATCGGCAAAAACAAGCATACCTGCAATAACAAAATTAACAAGTCATTCATTAGGAAATACTCACCACTAAGAACACAACCAAAACAAAATGAACTGGTACATTATGCACCCAGTGAAATGGCAGAAGGTCCCAACCAAGAGGCATGTGACATTTTATGAATTCAATGCTCCACACGATAAATCATTCAAATCAATAACAGAAAAGAATGGCAGAAATACAACCCAGATGTTCTGATCTACAAAGGACACATTTCTTTTCTCTTCTGTTCTAAGGGACATAGAACCGTTTTAACGGCAAAATGCTGATGAAAGAGAAGATGCACCTCCGCTCTGGATAATGACAGAGTGCAGCGTCCCCGAGGCGTCCAGTCGGAGCAGCCTGCCCTTCTTAATGACCGCTGTCCTCTCCAGGCTGTGCCCTGGCTTCCAGCTGCTAAGGGCAGGGTTGTGGTGAGGGCAGTTTTCTGCAGGGGAATGACAAGCAGGGACACACATTACAGATGGACGCATTTCCATAGCTACTGCTGTTGAAAAGGCAAGCCTTGACAGAAGAGAGAGCTGGTTTGAAAGCTGGCAGACTGATCTTCATAGGGGCTTCACGGTGAACATTAATTCTGACTTTCCATCAGCTGTAAAACCTCTGTGCCACTCAACAGGCAGCACCTTACAATAGGAGTGGGCAATGATAAATGCCCTCACACTATGGTACCAAAAGTGGTCCACTTCATCTTCATAGTCAGCAAAGCTTGGAGTTTCATCCACATTTTCCAATCTCAAATGCATTCCGACAATCTACATACCTTTGAAGTATCAATTGTCCATTCAACCATCATGGTTAGTGTTAACATATCAGCCAAGGATTTACGAGATAAAAATAAAGCCAGGAAAGCTGTGAACAAACATTTTAATGGTAAGGGTTCTGTGGGATTTGTGGCGATTTAGGTTGTTCATCCCTCCTAGTAGCAAGGTTGTTGGCAGTTGGAAAGTGCAAAATGTTTTAATTACTGCAGAAATTTGTTCATTTGGGAATGGGACTGATTGGTGAAAGCTCAAACCAGCACAAATCACAGCCTTGCAGTATCAGGATTTCTGAAACCTAAGACAGTAAGCCTCCCCAGCGTATCCTTATGTTTGCTGATTTTTGCTTGGGATGCACCTCCCATCAGACATACCTGGTCTATGGGAAGATACCAGGAAATCAAATATGCTCCATTTCAGTGGTCATGCTGTTCAGGGACATTAGCAGCTTTGCGGAGTGAATTATGTTAAGAAAAACCACCCAGAGATTCTCCTGAGGAAGATCATAGATTTATAAGCGCAAATATCACCATTATAAATTGGTGTTTGTACTAATACAGGCATAAATCTCTAGTTGGCCACTAACTTCTAGACATCCTCATGCTTTAGTACATTGTTCCGGAGCTTAACCCAGCTTATTTTAAATAAACACCACATCAAAGGGGGAAAAAAATGAGAAAAAAATCAGTTTGCGTACTACTGAATATTGCTGCTGGTGATATACATCTGTGTGGTAAAACCATTGGAGAACACATGAGCTGTGCTGTGCTATAAACACACAAGTCATACAGGCCAAAGGCCAAATCACGTCAGCTGGAGAGGAAGCCGCTGTCACAGGCCCCGTCCCAGCCAGTCCGACTCACCGTCCAGGATATCCTTGGACAGGCTCAGGGCCAGAATGAGCACGAGGAAAAAGGCTCCGGCTGACACGCCAAAACAGATGAGCGCGTTCCTGTTCTGCTGCAGGATGTGAACTCGCTCCCTCTTCTGCTGCTCCTCGCACACCGAGAGCGTGGCGGGGCGCTCGGGTGGAGTCGACGGCTTCAGCGCGGACGGCGTCTTCGGAGGCGAGCGCACGGGGGCGATCCTGCCCGGGACGTACACCGGCGGCCTGTGAGTGCTCCCGTTGGAGGGAGGCAGGAACATGGGGGCAGGGCTGGGGCCATCGTTCACCTGCATGGTATCAATCTGCTTCCTTCCAAACACGAGATAAGGAACATCGCCATAAGGACCACCATCGATCAGAAGACAAGCATAGTCAAGTTCCTACTCATGATCATTTATGTACTATTATCATTCATATACAGTTTCAAGTTGCACCTCAGAAATTCAAAAATTTTCCTGTAGGATTAGAGTGTACATTGTCTGACCCAAAATTAAGCTTTTTTTCATGCAGATGCTTATATAGAGACCTTGAAGACGATCACTGACTAATAATAATAATCATTATTAATATCATTGATACTTTTATTGATCCCTGTGGGGAAATTCTCTCTCTTTTCTTTTACACCTCCCTCAACTTGCTCTTTGCAGAGTAAGCTGTCCGCGAAGGGCAGCCACCAGGGAGCTGGGGGTTAAGGGCCTTAGTCAAGGACGCACTGAGGCTGGGTTTGAACTGGTGACCTCCTGATTACACGCACACAGGCTTAGCCCACTGAGCCAGGCACTGCCCCAACCAATACTACAACATTTATGTAAAAACAATGGCATAAGTAAGATATCTGCCTTCAGGAATCAGTACTACTCCGATTATAAATTCATAGTCATTTCATTTAAGCCCAACAACAGACTGGCATCTCACGGAGAATGACCCTGTATCAGATAAGCAATCTGAGGATAGATGGACTGGGTGGTGGTATGGATGATCTCATTTAAACAAAATGTGCATTCATTAAAATGCTATTACTGGTATAGCTGTGTAAACAACAAGTAGAGAGAAGATGTGTAGCTGCATGATGCAGAGAGTCTGACCACCACCTTCCTTCCAAAAGTAGATAAAATGAGTATTTTTCCTAAGATAAAATACATTTTGTAAAGTGGCTGAATACATTACTGTCTGAACTACCCCATCTTAACGTAAAGAGATTCAACAGCACTTAAGAGAAAATGTCTTCAACGGCAAAGGGATAAAAATCATGAAAGAATAACGGCAAAGTCACCCAGAAAGAGCTTCTTTGGTGTAATTCATGCCATTTTTTTACATTTGTGGTTCTGTCAAGAGAAGTGAAGAGTGGACTGAGTACATAACTTCAGCAGAGCTACTCAGAAACTCAGCAACAACAGCGGATCACCATTTAGTGACTGACACGATGCTTTGGCACTGTACTATTAGCTAGAGTTTCCATGTCCATTTCCACATAAGGCATCTATGCCCACAGATCTCTAACATTTTGAATATCAAGTTAACCTACTTTACATAAAAATCACATACCTAGATTCTGCGCCGCATCATGATTTTAAATTATTACAAAATTATTCTATAAGATCAGTGCCAGATAAGAGCTCGCCTACTTGTCGAGGACTCTTAAGGTCAAACCCCAGGAGGGAGTTTTTCCAGTAGCGCTGTAGGGGGCGCTATGACTGAATCCCGTGGGTAAAGCGTTAGTAAATCCGTAGAGCAATAGTTTAACTCCTAATACTAACTTTACCGGAGGGGTCTTACTCCCCTACTTAAGCACGATAGTTAATCTGACTTACTAGAGAGAAGCATATGTAAGGCACTTCGGACAAAATCATAAACGAAACGCAAAAAGCGTGCTGAGATCCCCGGGGTAACAGCAGCAGTTTTCCCTAAAAAGCTCCACAGAAATGAGCACCTATACCGGCTGTTTGTTTATATGGGGAAAATGCATATCAAGTAGGAATGATTGCAGTTAGATGAGAAACAGACACGGCTGAACAAAGAGCTGCAAAAGCGGAGAATCTGTTGTGTCTATAGTTTGGGGCGCAGAGCTGCCAAATACAGGGGAAAAACTGCCTTATCGTATTTCAGCGTTAGGAAGTGAAGGCTGCCGATTCGGCCGCCTAAAGCCGTCAAGCAAAACGAAATCAACCGCGTCACAAGTAGTTTCTGTGTTTTACCAAAAACTTAAGTTATGGAGAAGTTAAGCCATTTACCAAGATCATTTTCTATTTCAACTGTACATCAAAATGAACAGACAGAGCTTTAGAAAATCTACCTACAAGGCTTTTCAGTATATATAAGTCGGCTAATGCATAGCGGGTCATAACTAGCATTCACTTACCAGCAGCTCCGGAGTAACTTCACCGAAGAAACACCGTGTTACTGTATGTGTCTGTGTGTGAATCAGCTCCCATCCGGCGTCATGCTGCACGCTCAGGAACGGACGGGAGCGCAGGGCTGCGTTACGCGGGCTGGCGGGGGCTCGCTGACCGCTTTCAAAGCTCTTATTTCACTTGCCATCCAGCAGACTGCCCTCTCAACCAGGGCCAGGCAAGCTACCGATGCGGCTCTATCTATGGCGGCTCTGTCGCTTCTTGTACTTTTACATTGTGTTTCAGTGTATGCAGCTCGCAGAGGAAGTGAGGAAGAGGATTGGAGACCGAGGGAAAAAAGGAGTGGTCTAATAAAGAAAAAAAGAAAGAAAGAAAAAAAACTGTCAGTCCGGCCGCAGACCCGGTGCTCCACGCACTCCTCCTAGTGTCACGAAGGAAACATTTAAAAGGTCGATAAATGTGGCTGGTAAATCTCTAGGCTTGGCTCATGGGCGTCGTTAGGTCCGATCCCTCGGGGCTGTAGTCCTGAATATTTTAGCCCCAATGCCAATCTTCCTTCAAAAACAAAAAAGTCAAGCCCCAGGTAACTTGACTTAACCCCTGATCTTTTCAATAGCTAGAAACTCCCTTGGGTTTGACCATCCATCCTACTATTAAGCAGAAAGTTTTAACGAATTTTGCTGAAAGATTTCTGGTAGTCCATTTAGAAGTTATTAATAAACTATACACAATCCCTGCAGGTTACAAATGAGGTTTCCAATGGGGAATTCTACTGTGTTGGAAACAGATATGGGAGAAGTTTCAGATTTTGAGCTTAGCTGAACCTAAATTAGTGGGGATGTTGTGTGGCGGAAAAAGAGTGAAACAAAATGAAAATGCAAATTTACAGATTTTTGCAGACGTGGTAGCAGTCCTGGTGAAAAGATCAACACAAAGCCTCTCTGACCAAGAAGTCTAACCACAGATATGTGATCCAGAAAAGTGTGGTCAGGAAAACAAATCCATAGACTTACCTTTTACATGAAGGCTGGATTTAGATTGGCTTTCAACTCTGCCATAAACCTTGTCTGAGCACATTCCCAAAAGGATGCATGAGAAAGTAATTAGAGTTCAACAAGTACAATCAGAAATGGAATTGCCATTGTATTTGCTGTTGGAAAGTTTGTGAAGTTGTACAAAAGATTTTCAAAGAGAGAAATCATTGTGTTTTAAAAAGAATTTACTTCACATTATGTTTCCGTTAAACTAAACGAATTAGTGAAGATAGATTGAAGGTTTCTACCACACACTTTAAAGTGTAGTTCTCAACAGCTACATGCTACAGTCATTTACAAAGCTTTAAGGAGGGCGATAGAATTTACATCCCTTCCATCAGATATTAGACACATTTTCATGTTTTTTGCTCCCACTCCCCCCACTCCACCCTAGCTGCCAGTTTCTGGGTTTGGCTGAAAGCATCTAGATTTCATCATCTGTCATTGTGGTGATACTTAGCACAGACTGACCATTGTCCATGCCATCGGTTGGTGCCCCATCCTGGGTTGTTCCCTGCTTTGTGTCTGTAGCTTCCGGGATAGGACAAGTGGGTACAGAAAGTGGGTCGATGGATGGATGGTTGAATTGGGGGGGTCTATGCCATTGCAGAGCACCGCAGATGGTGTGATATTATCTAATATTAACCCCCCTCCCCCCCGTGGATATACATTTGATTGTTCCATACATACTATTATTCTGTCTTGAGAAGGATTGCGCTAAACCCACATTCATATCTGATTTGTTAGGCCCTTCTGTGGTTTTAGTAGCAGTAGTGAAAAAAAATCGAGTTTCTGCTGCGCTAAACTGCCATTTACACTTTCCTGCCGCAAGATCAAAAGTTGGGTGGATTCGGGCAGATATCACTGTTTGTGATGCTGCATTTGCTATGAAAAAAACCCAGCTCATTCTTTTGGTAAAATGTGCTTGCGACTAAGACAGAGCCAAAACATCAAGGCAACAAACTGAAACGATTATGAAAATTCAACAGATGGAATAGACATTTTGCGGCTGCATGTTTGCTGAAAGAGGAGCCTGCCCTGCTGGGTCGAAACACCTCAGTCGATGCCATCTCAGCAATGCCGACAACATGCTCCACAGCATTCAACGGCCGCGCGGACTGTTACACATCCTCACCAGTGACAACCACAGCGACACGGCTGGTGTGTGAGAACACGCCAGAATGTGACACTGAGCTCAGGGACCAGAGTGACGTTTGTGTCACTTTGGCTTTGCTGTTGGCTACATTAATCTGTTGCAATAGAACTGAAATCAATTTTTACTTTTCATGCAAGGTAAAATATGATCTTTTAAAATGTGTCATGATTCCCCTCCCCCCCCCTAAAAAATACATCCGTGTTCCTATCTAGAATAGTCAGCATGTGGCCCCATGGCTTAGAAACCTGTGTATGGAAGTTTGCCAGTTCAAATGTTGCAGCTGGCACAGTAATCACATTGCTATTGGGCCCTCGAGAAAGGCCTTTAACTTTAAAACTACTCTGGAGTGCTGCGTAAATGGCCAAGCCTGAGCTCAGACCCCAAGCGCCACTCTCACTTGTGCGTGTGCCCCTCCTGGGTGAACAAGTTGGGTTATATGGAAAAAAATAATTCCTACATACTAGTACAAATGGCAACAGTACAATTTTATAGAGAATCCTTCACACCTCTATTTCATGAATAAGGGTGTAAATCAGTACTCAGATATTTTACAATGTGGTGGTAGAATAGGGATCCTGATCAAGCTACTGTAGTGTACTAGAAGAAAATAGGTGCTGTATGAAAAGTAACAAGAAACCCCATTCAAAGCTTCTGCATATTGAACAAGTCAAATTCCTGTCACTAGAGGGAGCACAATACTTTATCACCCCCCCACAATGAATAGTACAATATCGCTCCACAAAAGACCCTCTGTATTATATTTTCTCTTCACGTTATTTGTTCTAGCATAAACAGATTTAGTTTCATATGGAATATTAAACATGGAATGCAAGATAATACACCAACTCTAGCATTGTTCTCAAATACAATTTATTTCCTATGATCATTTTTAAATTATAACTATTCTCAATATCATAATTACATACAGGAATCCCCTTCAATAATGAAAGGTGTATTACACAAAATAAAAAGTTACATTGGTCAGGATGAATTATGAAGCTTGTTTTCCCACCCTGTCCAAATCAAAAACAGCTTCACCAAGTATGTATACTGTATAACCAATTAATGGTGGTAGTAGTAGGAGTAATAATTGTACACTGGAATACAGAAGAAATAAAGTACAAACATTATTTACAAGTTTGGAACATGAGAAAGAGCCCCATCTCTCGGCACATTTTAAACATCCAGCACATCCAGTCAGTTAGCTTCTGTGAAAGAGCATTGGCAGGCTCTGTTTGCCTGCGTTCTAGCACATGAGCAGGAGAGGCACCCAAAAACAAAAGCCAAAATAAAAGTTATTGTGAGGAACAATTTTATGACGAAATGTTAACTTAAATTATCCAGCATTTATAGTGGTCTTAGGGAAACAAAAGTGAACTAGTTGTGAGTCAAAGTATTTTTATGTGTTTAAATTATATTTCTGAGAAGCAAACCTTGTACAGATTAGAGAGGTTTTAAAAACGTGTCCGTATAAAATCTGCCGTTTGATATGCTGATCATTTGGCAACACTGGCACTGAGTTCACATTTCATACAGTACTACTTTAAATCCTGTACATTACACCAAGTCCTTGTGAAGGAGTTGTCTTGACCACAGTTAAACAGACACACTTGCCGGTCAAGTCGTCCCCAGCGCAAAACTGGCACAAAAACAGTCTGAGGTCTGCAAATCATACCTGTGCATTGTTTCAAGGGTGGCAAATGACTTGCAAATTGAATCCGTGTTCACAGGTTCTACTGTGCTCTTGCAATTCATAATAGGAAAAAAAAATGAAATAACCAAACAGAATGTAGCTCACAGTTATAGAAACGTTAAGGAAAGTCCTACACATTGACCAACTCGTGGGCTACGAACTGTTTCAACCTCTCCAGGTACTGTCCATAGAGCTCGACGTCATTGTGCCCGGCGCCCTCCACCCAGAGTGGCTCCACAGGCCGCTGGCAGCGCTCATACAGCGCCAGCCCATGTGAGAAGTCGATGACCTCATCCTCTGTGCCGTGGATGATCAGCACTGGTGATGTCACTTTGGAGATCTTGTCGATGCTATAGATGGGAACGAGATACCAGGTGTGAGTGAATGTGATGAGCAGCATTTAAAAAAAAGTTTTTCTTCAATAAAAAAAAAATAAATGTAACTTAAGAAACATTAAACCTATTCTATAACCAAGCAAATGCTAATAGTTGGTGATAACTGGGAATCCATGTAAATTCAACCCATGGCTTTCCAGCAATCAACATCAAGTCATAGCACTTAAGTTCAGTACAACACAATTATTTATGAAGTCACTGGCAAAGTTGCAGACTAAGCACATTATTGCTGTATTTTAAAAGGCTAGGAAAGGCTGTTTGGACTTTCAGCCTCTGATTTGGTTGTTGGTGTGGTTTGGCTTCTTTGGGGTATTTGGAGCTGAGCTTCACCACATCCACATGGTGCAACTTGTTGGTTCCCTGCAAACTGTTTGAGTGTCACAGTTGTGTTTACGGCAGCCACAAGAACAGACGCCTCAAACACGTTCCACATCGGTGATGTTAGGTCATGTAGCAAACTCACTCGTCCATACTACTGACATTCCTGACCACAACAATTTGCAGCCGCTATTATCAGAATATGGCCACTTCACACATTACCTATTTTAATAACCACCACCAGGGGGCAACCACAGCCTGCATCATTCCCACTGAATGAGAGGACCACAGCAAAATCTTCAGAGCGTACTTGAACAGATACTGCCAAACAGTACCAGACATTCACCAAGCTATGCCTAACCCTCTGCTTCCACAAACAGATGTATTGAACTGTGCCTTTTGGAGGATAAGCATATGCTGTCTCATGCTACTAACAAGTGGCTATTTACATCACAAAGGATCAGTTTAGTAAACTTCCAGTGCTTATAGCATTTCACATGTGGAAAAACTGCACATATTCTTCTGTCAAATGGGTTTCTGCAATGGTATAATAAAACATCTTCGAGTAGATCCTACACTTACACATTTCAGACTAGGACCTGGGTTAAAACAATGACAACAAATGGCGGGATGAACTGAAGCCAATAGAGAAGTCATCTTGTGTAACTGCTTGCTGTCTGTCTCCATTGAATAATCACTTGTGAGCTGTGTGTAGGTGTGTGTGTGTGTGTGTGTGTGTGTGTAGGCTGCAGCAAAGGTGCAGCTTGCACTCACTTGGGAAATGCGTCAAAGCAGTAGGTCTTCTTGGTGTCAGGAAAGGCGACCCGCATGCCAGAGGTCAGCGGCGAATGCAGGATGACCGCCGCCGTCTCGTAGCGCGCTGCCAGATCCACCGACGGCACTGTGCCGATGCTCTGCCCGTACACGATGACGTTCTCCGGCCGGATTCCGTACCTGGGAAAACGTGCAGAGAGACAGAAGTGTTAAACATACGCTCCTCACCCTCACACACATACGGGGGGGGGGGGGGGGGGGCGTTACCAACAACGGCATAAGCCATCCATCTAAGACCACGGAAAACCAAACAGACGTACGCTACAGTATGAGTCACTCTCTGGAGCTGAAGTGAGAAATTCCAGCAACAATCAAGTCAATGGCATTTCAATGGCAGAATCCAGCACCCTGCCACTCCCCTCCAAGAGACACCACACACACACAAACACAAAGGCTTCACACAATGTACTTCCAATGTGGGATGATAGTAGGACCGTGCTGCTCTGATAATATAAAGAGGGTTTGTAGGTCTTGATGGCCCTTTAACAGCAACTCAAACTAGGCCCAGGTCCCTAGAGTGGCACCTGGCCTCCCAGGGCTCTCTGCAGGTTGGAGAGAACAGGATGCCTCTTTCAGCTTGGTGTTGGGGTAGTGGGGGGGGTTGAGAGTGTCAGACAGCCTGAATGTGTTCTGTGGCGGGGGCGGTGAACAATAGCAGAACTGGTGGCGTGGTGAAACACAGCGCCTGAATGGTATAGATTTATCAGTACATGCCCTTTCGCAGTATGACAGTACACTGGGATACACCGATGCGGTAAAGCAAGGGAGCTCACTGGCATACAGCTATTACCGTTACCATTCTCTGGATGACCTAGAAGCAGTAATCAATGGATAATGTAATAGGAGCAATAAAAATAACAGAAAATCACCAGCAGAGCTTCAAAGTATGAAGTTTCCAGCTTCAACATATACATTATTCCACTGACGGACTGCAGGCATTTAAAAATATTCACATCTCATTGAAACGATTTCACATTGTGGAGAATATCTATTGATCTTATTCGGCTTATTCTGGTCAGGGTCACGGGGTGTTATGAAGAATACCATTTTAGAAAAGCATTTATATTGAGTACTATAATATGCTTTAAATGACGAACGATTTAGAGATGATCTGCCGGCGCAGGCAAAGCAAGCAGGAGCCTGCAGGTCCCATGGCCACTGATAGTTTCTCTGGGACATGTCTATTCAATAATGCATTACATACATATTGCTCATTCTGAACTGAATCCAGCTGGGAGGTGCAGTTTAGTGCCTGGCTAGAGGCAGCTATTCAACTCGGGGCGGGAAAGGGGGGGGGGCATAAATAAATAAAATGCCACATTTTATAAACTGGATAATATACATCAGCCAATGTGTGGTCACCCCGAGCCTGAAGCTTAGCCCAAGGAGGACAGAGCAAAGGCAGGGGACGGCATGGATGGGATCCCAACTGCTGTAAGACACACGCACGCACACACGGCAAATTACAGGTACTATTACAACTAACCGCATGTTTTAGGATTAGGTGAAGGAGGCTAGAGTACCCTGAGGAAACCTGAACAAAGACACATATTCCGCGCACATATGCAGCTGGGGTGGGACTCGAGCCTTCAGGACCCCGAGGCCTGTGTGATATGACCGCAGGGAGTTCGGGGTTGAGACAGGACGAGCCAAAAGCACCAGGCCTGACAAGCACAAAGAAGCGACGTTAACGGGGAAGGATGGGAGTGCCGTTCTACCGAAAACAAAGGGATTGTGTCATCTGCCTTGCAAGGAAGCAGGAAATAAGGGAAAAGTTATCTGTAGGAGCTGTACTTATACATAGCTGCATCAAGCCCAGTGTGCATTCAGCTAAACACAGTGAAATTTTACCCGTTTTTACATTTTCCAGCATCATGCATGTCCTGCAGGGTATAAAAACCAAACTTCATCAGAAATGAGGTTGAGGTGCCAGAATGACACGCAGATCACCAATGAACATCATGTGAAAAACCATTCCGAAATGCCCCACTAAAACGGAGGAGAAAAGAAAAAATATAAATCAATGCAGTTACAGCAGCCAGGGGAGAGAGCTCATCAGTCAGGTCAGACGGCCGTCTACTTCCTCCCCAGCCAAGCACATTAGATGCCCAATAGATTACATCAGTGGCCTAATAACCACATCCCAGGATAAAGGCTAAACAGTGTGACCCACCCCCTTCTGATAGCGTGTTTCTCTGGGGCGTGGCCAAAGCGGGACAGCCAAGGCTGTCATCTGCCTCTCTGTGTCCTTGGCCACTACAAGGTCAGGTTTGCATGTGTGCCAGTACACGTACCCAACCATCTGAAGCCCAGCTGTGGCCAGCGACATCACACGGCCTTGCCGACACAGAGGCACGTAACTGTGACGGCTTGGATCGCGGGGAATTTGTCCGCAAGCCTCGACCGTCGTTATTTAACCATGTGAATGGCGCTTTGCCACAGTCCCACGCGTGGTGCCAACCCAAGAGCTGCTTCACAACTGGATCAGTTGGTGCACTATTGTGTGTCCAAGTCAGTGTTGTGTACCGACGCCACCCACAACAGCAACCGAAACAATCAAGACAGAACAAGGAATCCATTTGATGAAATACCAACACAGTTAATTTTTTTAATTACCTTACATATGCAATGTGAGAATGAAGTAATTGCCACAGCCATGCAGTGGATAAATGAAATTCTAGCTTTCCTTCCCCTCAAATACTGGCAGTATTTATTTGCTGCTGTATTCTTGGGTTCTGTGCTGCACCACTGGATCGCTCCCTGCATAATACGCAGTGGATAAAGCTTCTGCACTTGCACACTGCCCTAAACCTTGCAGCTGGCCCTGGGCACAGGCTGCTCTGGTCCTTCACTGGTTCCACCAAGCAACACCTGAGATTAACAGCCCCCGCAGAGTACCTGCTGAGTAAGTACCCTCACACGCTGATGTACTTGTTAACTGATCTGATTATTCAACGCCCTGGTTCATTAATAGCCGATTTAGTTTGCTTCAGCGTCCTGCCATTTCTGCATTCCCACATCGCCATATTTTATTTTTCTTGCATTTGGCATTTGCCTGATATGATCCAAACTAGAAACACCATCAACCTGCATTACTAGGAGTGTTAGGTGGACTAATTAAAATATGTAACATGAGGAAGGTTGTAAACACAGTAACCATGTTCTGCAATGGACTGGCTTCTCATTCCTGGGCCATTTATCACTTTAGTGTGAGCCTCAAAGGGGCTTCCAGTAAAACAGGATAAGATACAAAAAAAAATTAATTAAGGAAAATTGCAGACATTCCACACATTCCTCCCAACTTTGCTGTTCGTTAGAAACACAACTCAGTCTGACTGCGGGGAATCTCCCATGTTCCGGCTCTGTGGGCTCCTGCTCTCCCAGTCTGAAATTGTATGAATAAGGCAGATTGGTGTGTGTCTTGGTGAATGGGGGCCCTGTCTAGAGGTGGCATCCCATCCAGACTCTCCATCCTGCTTCCTGCTGGGATGAGCACAGGCTCAGCCTGATCCTGTACGTAATAAGCAGCAGCACAATGGATGGCTGAATCGATTCAGCCTAGATACATGCTTGTATAAGACTGACAGGTCTGCAGAAAGATGCTAAACCGGCTGTTAGTCAAGGTCCGAATACTGCTGGATCCAGCCTGACGGGCAACATAGCCAGAGACAACTGATCTCACAGATCCAGAAGTTCTGTTACTAATACGTCACACCTTCAGGAAAACTGTGTTAAAAGCTAATCTCCATTTTCACAACCTAATAGTTAATTCATTGAAGTGCATTCCTTTGACAGAGCAATAATGAAAGACTGATGTAACTAAAGCATAAATCTTCCTGGATAATCTGCCAGAAGAACCAGATATTTCAATTGCATGTTTCTTGTTTTGTGTAGTGTTCTGTATAATATTTAAGCAAAGGCAAATTGGCAGGTACAAAAGCCTAAGCCGTTATTTTTTAAAAAAAAGGAGAAAAACCTTAATGTCACACTGACAGCACTGAATACTGGCTCTGTTGGGTGGAACAGAACTGAACAGTAATTCCTGCCCTTTCAGGTAATGTCAGATGTCACATGACATTGCTACCATCTTCCTCGTCACAATGCTGTCGTCACATTGGAGTTACTCACTCTCATTGCATCGTACCCGGTGTACCTTCTTCCAACAAGTGGGGTCCAGGTTACCCAAGGAGCAGGGCCCGTTTTAGGCCAGATCAAATCACTCTACCTCCCAGGGACCAAGTTCAGCAAGAGACCTCCCCCCAACCATATCAGCAGTAACAATTCGACCTTTGTCGTAACTAAACAACTGCGGCATTCACATTTCCATGAACCATGAGAGTCTGTAAGCACATGTGACGTGGGACTCTGATGAAAGAACAGGCACACGCCTCAAACTGCTAGGGGTGAGAAATGGACTTTATGCTGCGTGTCTGTAGCTCTTAAAAAGAAAAAAATGGAATAAAAATAACAGGCATAGTATCCTGTAAATATTACACACCAAATTATGCCAACCACTAACTGAAAGGATAAAGCTTAAGCTAAGGTTTCACAATTTACAAGCGGCACTGTGACTTGGGATATTCAGACACTCAAATGCACCAACTGTGCTTCAGGCCTTAGAAAAGCTCGTCTCAAGGCCCACAACCCAATTAAGACGGCCAATATGGAAATTCTCATTGTGCTACTACCTCCTGCTCCACCAGTGTCACGGTAGCTGTTGCTAGGACACATGTCCTTCCTGGGCGCATTCTACACTCGCTCCTTAGCAACTAGTCAATATTTAACGGGAAGGATTGGCTGCTGGAGTCCATCCCAGAAAGCTTCCCCACATATAGCTGCGACTGACGGCAGCAGTGCATATACATAAAACGCATGCATGTGATCATGAGACAGCATGAATCGACACCTATGCTCTTGTGTGAAAAGAATTCCAAACAGATGAAGAATAAATACGTAGAACCCTGAATGAAAACATAGTAAAGACCCAACTGTAAGTTTACTATATAGAATGGTGAAGCAAAACAATTGCATGTACGTTCCAGAGTATATCCAGTGTGCCCTAATTGCATCAACACTCATTTCGAGAACACAAAGATCCTCCCATAAGCAACACATACCTT